AATCCAGGCGGCCAGTGTAGACAGCTGGCAAGTTTTTCTGCAAAAGCAGATGATTTTGAGGAAAAACTTGCCAGTCTAGACACAGCCTCTGGGTCTTACCCACAAGACCACGCTGGGCCAATCCTTTAGCATCTAACATCGAAAGGTTTATTACTACAAGAAAGAAAAGCAGGAGAGTGAGGTTGCTAAGGAGAATACGTTACACGCATTGCATCTCCCAGTTCTGGATGCAGGCTCTAGCAGAGATGTTATAGCTGCTGGCTTAAAAGTCCTTGGTGCACATCCTATGCCAGGATGGGTCCACAGTGCTTCCTGGCTCGCTGTTCCCTGCAAGGCTGCATCTGGGATCAGTGGCAGAATTTAAGACAAGATGGAGACCTCCGCATGGCATTTTATATCCATCCCTGGTACCTTGCAAGCTGGAGCAGGTCACATGGCCCAGTGACCTGTCCCTGCGTCCCCATGATATTGGCTGGTTTGCTGGTCCCAGGCATATTCCTCGGGTGGGTAATTGCTCTGTCTCAGACGGAGAATCTTCCAGCATCAACCCTGAGTCCAGATTTATAACCCCACACAGACATCACACAAGCACATGAATCACACACACAGGATCAGTAGGACACGAGCTTTCATTGGACACCTCACATGGCCCCTTTGTACAGACTTTGGGGCAACCCCCCTCCCCCCTGGGTGAAGCAGTGACCTGTCTGATCCCCTTAAAATCCAGTAATGTGACGTGGAGAAGGAGGCAGGGGATGGCAGGATGAGAAGAGAGGGAAATAAAGTCAGGGACCGCGCACTGCACCCCAAGGAGAAAGCATCATGATACAGCTGAGCCCTGCACCCTAGGGAGAACACCGGTAAGTGAGCATGGAATTACAGACTGTATGCTAATGCACATGCATGCACAAGGGGCAGTGTTAAGGTTATGGGGACACCGTTGATCCTACCATCGCCGGCTTTTAAAGTGCTTTGCATTGCAACCATCCCGGGCCATTAGAAGAAGGGAAAGGCAGAGCTGGGGGGGGAGGGGAATGAATGGCTGGACGTTAGAGCCTGACGAATGAGAAATAAAGCACCAGGTTTGGATAGTGCCCTTCTGCCGGACGTTGCTACCTACCACCCTGCCCATGTTCATCCCGGCCGTGGCACCCACCCCTGCCCCAAGGACGGCCGCTCAGGGGAGGGCTAACTCCGCAGCCACCGTAGCCACCGCTCTCTAATGGATAACTCCGAGCCCACAGCCCAAGGACCGAGCCCACTGCCCAAGGACTGAGCCCACTGCCCGAGGACCCAGCCCACTGCCCGAGGACCCAGCCCACTGCCCGAGGACCCAGCCCACTGCCCGCCCCCGACAATGCCCGCCTTGACAGCATGACACCGATAGCGCCTGCGGTAGATTTTCTGGAAGGTCGTGGCCTCCCGTGTCAGCTCCACCTTCAGTGCCACCAGCAGACGGTTCTTCCCTGGGCCCACCATCTCCCTGCGGCATCGCCTCAGCACCGCCCTGCGATTCTGCACCAACTGCTCCTTCATGGCGCACGGCGTCACCCACAGACAGCCCAGGCGCTGGGACAGGGCAGCCTGCAGGCAGCGGGAGAGGCGGGGAAAGGAGGAGGCCCCGAGGCTGTTAGAAGGGGGGAGGGTGACCCTGTCTCACCCATGGAGCCTCTGGCTCCAGGACAGTAACTTCCCTCCACCCCCTGTCCAGGATCAGGGCCCCGTTGTGCATCGCTGCAGCCACCTTGGGGGCTAGAGAGAAGAGCGCCCCCCTCCAGTCCAAAGCCCATTGCTCATGGGGCTGGCTGGGATGGTCCCCTGGCTGGGGCACGGCCCCACCCGCCCCACTCACCTTCTCCCTCTGAAACCGAGCGTGGTCTGAGCGGGCTCGGTCCAGGGCTCTCTGGTTGACGGTGTGATCCTGGTGGCGCTCGCTGTAGATCACCAGGAAGGTCTCAGCCTCCCGAGCCAGCTCCTGCTCCAGCGCCGTCAACAGGGCCTCCTTCTCCGGCTCTTTCAACTCCTCCCGGCCCAGCTCCAGCAGCAACCTGCGCTGCTCCTCCAGCTCCTCCGCCATCGCGCCCGGATCCACCCGCAGGCAGTCGGCCATGCGCTGGGACAGGGCGTCCTGCATCGAGCAGGACAGGAGGGGCCCCAGGGTGTTAGAAGTGGGGTACAATGGACTCCTTCCTCCCCCAGAGCTCGGGCTACGGGCCAGCCCTGCCCCTCGCTCCCGCGACTGAGCTCAGAGCTCCCAACGTGCCGGGGTTGGGTCCCCCATATCCTCAGCCACCTCCCAGCCAATATGAGGTCCCATTGGAGGTGAGGCTGGCTGGGATTTTTCCCTGGGATTCCCCTAGCTAGGGGCCCAGCCCTCCCCGACTCACCTTCTCCCCCAGCCAGGCAGCGTAGTATTGGCGGGCGCTGTC